AGCGTGCGATTGACGGCCGTGGGCAAATCTTGGTGAAGCACAGGTCCTACGTAAGCGCGCGCGTGTGGCCATGCGGGCGGCCCGCTCTCGAGCTGCCATGTGGCTTGCCACTGGGTACCGCAGTTTGCTGGTACACCGTGGTGGGAGACAGAATGAGTGCGTGGCGCCTCGCGCCGCCGCTGAGAAAGCGGTAGACTTGCTGGTGAGCCAAAAGAAGCCGCTCAGCCAAATGCTTCCATAAGGAAGCCAAGCGAGAGGCTGGTGGCGAGATGCTGCGCAGATCTAAGTGTCGTCCCGGGTACGCCTCAGCAGCGGGCATGTCCTCGTCTGCGTCGGCGTTGCCCAGGATACTGGGCTCGCTCCTCATGGCCTGATGGGGATGAGGCAGTAAAGGGAGCTGATAAGAGGAAAGAGGGAGAGGTTAGGCTTAGGCTGAGGGCTAGCTGCCTGGCAAAGGTCTAGCGCCTGGCAGCATCACCTCCTTCATGAGGTTTACGCGGCCTCCTGGGCGAAAGACGCTGACCGCAATGCGAAAGGCTTTCGCCTTCTCGCAACTGAAGCTTGAGGCGCTCCCTGTGTATCCTGTCGATACGGAGCTGGTCCTGCCTATGCTCCTCTTTGAGCTGGGCAATTCTATTCTCGTGCGCCTTGAGAACTGTACTGCGCTGCTCGTCCGAGGCTGCATCAGACGCTTTGGCAGGCGAGTGTGAGCGCTGAGCTGCATGGGCCGCGCGGTGAGCCTTGGCCTTGCGAGCCCTATGGTGCCTAGGGGGAGGAGAGGCTGGAGGTGGTGGCGGGCCGAGGGACTCCTGCGGGCTGCTTTGTGCCTCCGCAGGTTCTCTGCGTTGCGGCGCCGGCTGCTTGAGCGCGCTTTTGCGCGGCTCGGTGCGTCAGCGCGAATTATAGGCCACCCTAGGGGCTTTGGCCGTGAACTCGTCCGCAAATGAGACCTGCTTGCGCTTGCGAGTTGCAGAGGCGCGGGGCGCAGCGGACTGTTCCGCCGGCCCTGGAGAGTCATGCGGAGGAAATGGTGAGGAGGCAGAGGAATATGAGGCGTCGTCCACCTGATCCAGCCTTCTAGGCGATGCTGGGGGACTAGAAGCCCTGCTCGGCTGGCGCCTGCGTGGCGCAGCTTTACGAGACTGTTTGCGAGGCTCGCGCGGGGGTGGAGGCGAGGTGCACGCTGAAAGGGGTGGAGAAAAGGGAGAAGCAGCCTGGCCTATCCAGCCTTCCGGAATGGCTGCTTTGGCAGGCACCCTGGGATGGTCTGGGGGCGGCAATGGAGGCAAGGCGGGCGGAGGTGGCGGAGGATGAAAAGTGGCCCCGTAGATGTGCCTGCCTCGACCCATGGGGGGGCCGCTGAAATCGCCAGGCGGCCGCGGGGGATCTGCGGCTGATGGAGTGCTGGACAGAGAGCGCTGCACCGCTTTGGCTACCTGGGCGAATTGTGCAGGCGAAAGTAGGGGTGGAGGAGCTGAGGCGGGCCGAAATTGGCCCGGTGGAGGATGCTTTGGCCTGGCTTCACGCGGCACCAGCACCCATGGCCGTCTGGACATGAGACGCCTAGCTAAGTGTCGAAGATGTCGGCGTTGAAGTCCCGCGGGGCGGGCGAAGCAGGGTGCCACATGTGAGAGAGGGAAATGCCCGTGAGCGGGACGGGGCGCGCCGCTTGGCGGGAACGCTCGGCCCTGATTTGTCTGGCCCGTTCCCTATTGCACTGGATGCGCCTTTTCTGATCCAGAGTTAGGGAGGGCGAGGGTGGCGGCGGAGGGAGGGTGGAGGGAAAAATGGGGGCAGTGCCCAAAAAGTGCATGGCCTCTTGTTCCGCTTCCGAGTCCTGATCGGCGGGATCACGCTGCTCGTGAGCCTCTGAGGGGAGGTCGCTATGGCGCCGCGGCTCGCGGGGCCTGGTGAGAGCCAAAAGTCTGCGGAAGCGGTCCAGCTCCCCATCCACTTTAGCACGGGTGCGAGGGGCGGAGGAATCAACGAAGTCGGGGCCTAGCCAAAAGTCGCTGGTCATGGATGCGGAGAAGGGGAGCCAGAACCGAGGGGTCCGTCTGGGGAGGAGGATCCTGTGGGTCGTCGACAAATGGTAAAATGACGTCCTGGCATATAGCCTGGGCGAGACATTCGCAAAGGGCAGAAGGATAGGTCTTTTTGTCTGCAGTGAAAAAGCGGTCATTCTCGTCCTTACCTAGAAGTGTACGATGTGACCCCCGTGGGTGCGTGCACTTGGCCCCCTGGGGACGGTTAGTTAGGAGCGCTGGGAGCGAGGGAAGGCGGAGCGATAGCAAGCGCGTGGGGGGCTTGCCGAATTCGTTAGGAGGGCGGCAAGACGGCTGAAACATGCACTGGTCAATGTCCGTTGTGCGGACCGCCGGTGCAGCAGCCAGGGCCATTAAAGGCTTCCATATCCAGCTAGGCTGCGCCCTGGGTTCCCAGTGCGCAGGGCATGGATGTTCCATCCATGCCGAGGTACCCATTTCCAAATGAGCGGCAAAGAGGAGGACCAATGAAGCGAGTAGCAAGTTGGCTATCTGCAATTGGCGGGATTGCTTGGGCGTAGCGTTGGGGATGCCCCAGTAGTGCTCGGTAGTGCGCAGCGGCGGTGGTCCGTTGGGCTTCCAGCGGGCCGCGCAAAAGGTTTCGCAAGGTGGGCCCCCACCTGAAACAACCACTCTACCGGCATAAATATGTTGTTGCCAGAGCTTGATGGTCTCCGACTTGGTGAGATCGCCTGTGTCGGGATCGATAGCAATATCGACCGACAGTATATGTACCTCTATCGAGGGGTCAGGCGTGAATGATTCCAGGTGATGCTGGATATCCCCTTCGCGCCTGCGGCCAGAAAAAAGATTGAGAATGAATATTTCCTTGCGCCTGATACGGGCTGGAATTTCGCTGGTCGCTAGACCAGAATAATCCTTCGGTTGAAATGGCCATTCAGGCAGCGCAGGAAGAGGAGGAGGTTGTGGCGGAGGCACATCGGCGGGAAAAAGTAAAGAGACGGCTGCAGAGTCCAGCGCGTAGTCGGTAACCGCCATTATGGCGCGAGCGTCCGCTTGCGACAGGTGTTTGGCAAAGTCACGAAAGTGCTGGGTGGTAGCACGCTTGGCACGATGTGCCGGTAATGCAACACGCCAGCGACCTACGCCTGATCTCACTTGTAGTTTGGCATTTTCGCAGCGTTGCGTAGCAAGCGCGGCGATTTGCTCCTGGGGAAGGCGTTGGGAATGGCAGAGGAGGTAGAGAGCACATATGAAAGAGTCGAAACAAAGGTGCTGCATGAGACTGGCGCGTGAGCCAAAGGGGAGACTGCAGGCCGGGCACGCCTGGGTGTCCGGTACTAGGCCTTTGACCCTGTGGGACAAGGTCCAGTGCACCTGGGCAACGTGTTGTTTTAGCCCCCGAAATTTTAAAAATGTGCGCGGGCACCATGGGCAGGTGAGCACCGCTGGGTAGTGCGCTGCCAGGCGCTGCTGCTCGATCGGGTGCTGTACATGGTCCGTCGGCAGGGGGGTCCCACATGGGACGGTAATGGCAAAAAAGTGCTTGGCAGCTGCCTCGGCGAGTGCTGCGCGAGCGAAATGCTGTGCTCCCGCTGTAAGGGCATTGCGAATTCGACGCTTCCATCCTGTGTGGGATTGGAGGGCGAGGGCCTCCCACTGGTCCAGGTGCGTCATTGGCGAGGGCATTTGAGCTAGATTGGCAGAAAATTCGCCCAGCCACTGTAAGTCCTTCTGCACCAGGGCAAGCCATGAGTCTGGGATGTCTGCGGCTAACTTGGCCAGCAGGGAGGTGAGGTGCGGCGGTCCCGTGCGGAGGAGCCTGCCAAAGAGGCGCAGACGCATTGCACTAAAGATATGCGGTAGAGGGGGTCTGCAGACCTTGGCCAGGACAAATGGGGGTGGGAGGGAGGGGGGGTACAAGAGCCCGCGCCGATCGGCAAAACAGGGAACCAGAAAACGATCCCGTGGAGGTCTGGGCCCGAAAGCTTGCGCTCGTCCGTCGATCTGTGCTCCTCCAGAAGCGCAGGTGGGCCTCCGCCAGGTCGGCGGCGCCCTGCAGCCGAGGCCACATGTGCTCCTGCCCGTAGCGCCTCTCGGGACACTCGCCCACGCCCACGGGCCGATGCTCCGCAGGACGCGTGGTAGCGCCCGTTCTGCGGCAACTCACGGGAGCCTCTCCATACCATCGTGCTGGTTCTTGCGGACCGACGCGAATCGACGCTCACCGATGCAGCACCAGCGCGGAAGCGACTCCGATCGACGCCAAGTCGGCGCCACCTCATCGATGACCAAACGCTGACCGACGCGAGTGCACTCCACGGACGGAACTGTGAGGGTACACCGAGGCTCCCGTGCCACGATCTGCCACCGAACGCCAGCGTGCGTTTGCCCACCCTGCCACCGCTCGGACGCCCCTTCCCCATGCGCTTCAGGCCTCGGAAAAAAAATAGCGAACACTCATGCCACACCCATCTGTGAACGCCTCCCCCTCCCCCCAATGTTCAGAGTTGGCGGTGGGTCTGATGAGTTGCGCCTCGACCGCAGTCTCCCCCGCGCGTGCCAACCTTGAGTTTTGGGGGGCAGGGGGGGTGTTCACTAATTGTTTCCCTCTACCGTTGCTCGGCTTCGCGCGCTGCCCTCGCGCGCAGGAGGACCCGGGATGCCCCTCGATGGCCCCGGGAACTCCGGCGCTGGCCTCGCCGAGCAGGGAGTGCACACCTCCGAGCTGTGCCACGCCACCTATTGAAGGGGCCCTGGGACACACAAATAAATACACACAACTAACAGGACTTCCCATGTTTTCCGATTTTTTCTGAGTTTTTGTCTTCTACCCCACTTCCCATATTTTCCCATATTGTCTGGGAATCGACGATTAATTGTGTCTGTGTGTGTTTTCTCCTCCTGAACCTAAGCCGTCCCGCATGACGCAGGCTGCGCGATGGGGGCCGCTTGCTCCGGGTGCAGCGGAGGAGGGCAACGCGCACGGTGGGCTCACACACCGCCGCGACAGCAGTTTGGCCCACGTGTCCTGCCGCGGCGAATGAAAGACCGAGGGAGTCGCAGGACTTGCGATGGCCCCCCCTCCGCCGTAGACTCCTGCGCCAGGACGCCAGAGCGCAGCGGTTGCGCGGCCGCGGCGGAAGAACAAAAAATGTTCCCGCTGAGGGCTAAGTCGTAGTAACTGTTCATTTCAGGGGATGAGTTATCCCGCTCATTTTCAGACGCATGGGAACTCTTCCGCGCCGGCGCGAGGGAACTCCGCCGGGGAACGCACATGGGCCCAAACTCTCGCCCCGCCGGAGTACACGCCGTGAAGATCATCGGATGGGAACGTCCGCGAAGACGACCTCCCGGTAGTGCGCGGCCCTGCAGAGGTCCGAGGAAGAAAATCGGCCGGAGCACAGACCCTCGGAGGCCCGCGCGGAGTCCTCGGATCGGCGCCTCTGGAGCCTCCCCCTGGCGCGTACCTCCCCAGAGATCCGACCCGACCCTGGCTCGTCCTCCTGAGTCGTTGTTTGACGGTCCCAGGGCCCAGCGAGGGCCGCCAAAACCGAAAACTGCTAAAAACCTCCGCCGATCCGAGGAATCCGCGCGGACCTCCGAGAGTTTATGCCTTCGCCCAGGTTTCTTCTCCGGGAGGTGGGGCTTGTCGTACCAGTGCAGCTGCGGCACCAGGCGGAGGCCGCCCACGACCCGCGCGGGCGGCAGCTCCAGGCCGTACCTGTCGCGGATCCGCCTTTGGTGAAAGCAAAAGGTACTGATACAGTGGGTGGACAAAAAATATCGCAAGTTACCTGCGCTTTCTGCAAAATTTCGTCGTCCCACCGTACCGCCACTCCCTGGACCTCTCCCGGGGCTCCCTCTGACCAGGGCTCCGAGGCGGATCCAGCCGCGGCGACGAGGGCCTCCCCGGAGCCCCAGGAGGCCCCAGGGGGCGACAACGGCGGGAAGGGCAGCGGCAGCGGTGCCGCTGCTTCCGCCGAGCCTCGGGTAGTCCAGGGTGGTCATGGACTGCATGCCTATGTACCGCACCTCCGCGTCGAGGTCCATGGCGGCCACGGCGGCGGCGACCTCGGCGGGCCGCACGAACAGCCAGTCGTGCTGCACCACCAGCACGAACTCCGTCTCCACGGCCTCCAGCGCCGCGGCGAGGGCCAGCGAGTAGCCCCGCCGCTCCTGCAGCCGCAGCACGCGGCAGGGCCCCAGCGCCCCACCCTCGGCGAGCAGCACGACCTCGTCCAGGTACTCGGCGTAGGCGGCCTCGGGGCACAGCTGCGCCTTCCCGTCGCCCCGCAGGTAGCCGTCACAGACCAGCAGCCGGCCGCACTCCTCGAGGCCGGGCAGGTGGTCGCGGAAGGCGGCAGGAGAGAAAGAACGGCACGAGCACAAACCTCCGGCCCCGGACCCCCGGCGCGGCGGAAAGCACAGGGTGCAGGCTCGTCCTCGGCCCTCGCCGGGCCTCAGGATGGCCAAACCTCAAGCACCAGCCCCAGGGAAAGGGGGCCGAGATCCCGGGGGATCGGAGCCCTGGGTCCGCCCTGACTCCGGATCCGCCCTACTTTGGGGAAATTCGTAAGTAGGGCTTGGAATTCCCGCCTTACTTTTCAAGCCCCGCTGATGCCAATTTCCGCCCTACTTTTCTGTAGCTGTTTCTTTGGATTTCCGCCCTATTTTATGTTGGGTGCAGCAATTTCCGCCCTACTTTTTCGGCCTCTTATAGGTGGATTTCCGACGCATTTTAAGTTGGAAAAAAAGCCAAAGTAGGGCGGATCTGGAGTCAGGGAAGGGGGCCGAGAGCCCGGGGGATCGTAGCCCTGGGTCCGCTCGAGACTCTTGGCCAGACGACGGGCCCCACTCCCCGGCGCCCTCGGCGCGCCGGGGGCGGCGCCGGGAGGGCGCCGCCGAGGAGGGCCCCCAGCGCAGATCTCCGAAGCACCCGCGCGGCGGAGGAGGAGGAGGAGGAGGAGGAGGAGGAGGAGGAGGAGGAGAGGAGGAGGAGGAGGAGGAGGAGGACGAGGAGGCTGAGGTCTCTGCTGTGCCCGAGAGCCGAGCGCCCGCAGTGGTCAGGAGGAGATCGACGCGCTGCAGGACGCCTTCCAGGCCCGCGCCTCCCGTCGCCCCGCCCCTCAGGGGCAGCGTTGCGAATTGGCATCGCCGCGGCATCTGTGCTGCTGTGCCGTGGCTCTCTCCTGCTGGAAGGAAGCGAACAGCGCCTTCAGCAGCGCCGCCGACGGGTGCGATGGTCGGCGGCGAGCCCGGCGGGAAGGGCGACGGCAGGAGGGGAGCAAGGGCGCGCCGGTCGGAAGAGGTGGGCAGAAGCATGAAGTAGGAGGGCGTTGGCAGCAGGTTGGGCTTCCGCCCGCCCCCTGAAGAGGAGGGAGAAAGGAAACCTGTCGATCCTTGAAGCAGGAAGGCGTCTAAAGTAGATTGGGATCTGGGAGTCCAGAAATACCTACTTTCAACGACCGGCGTGTTAGTGGACACTCCCCGGTCCCCAAAACTCAAAGTTGGCACGCGCGGGGGAGACTGCGGTCGAAGTGGTGCAACTCATCAGACCAACCGCCAACTTTGAAAACTGGGGGGAGGGGGAGGCGTTGACCGATGAATGCGGCATGCGTGTTCCCTATTTTTGTCCGAAGCCTGGAAGGAGCAGGCCTTCTCAGAAGGCGGCGGGGCTTCTCAGAGGCCCTCGCGCCTTCTGACAGTGTGTCTCTGCCTCACTGAGAGGTATAGCAAACTTCTCAGAATCTTTCGGTGGCAACTCAAGGGAGCCTCCCATACCATCTTGTCGGCTCTTGCGAATCGACACCAGTCGACGCGAAATCGACGCCAATCGACGCTGAATCGACGCTAACCAACGCTAAATCGGCGCCATCCCATCGACCCCAGCAGCTAATCGGCACGAGTCGACGCGAAAGGCAGGATCACGAGGGTACACAAGACTCCCACGATTTGCGACCGTAATCAGAGGGCCGGAGGCCTTCCGAGCCTTCCCCACCCGTGGAAAGCTCCAAGGACTCCTGCCGCTCTTCGACTCGCAGTGGAGCGGCCGCAACTTGCTCCAGCAGCCCCCGAAGGTCTCTGGATCTACCCGGCTTCGACCCCGATGCACCTGGGCTTACCCCCGGTGCATCAGCACGCACCTGGACGGGTCTGCATCTCCCTGGATTTCTTTATCTGGCTCGATCCCCACGCGGTCGAGGGGCGCGAAGAGTCGTCGAGCTCTCAGGGGCCCCTCGGGGGCTCGCCGCCGAGCTGGGATCGGCGAGGTGGTGACCACGATCGTCACGCGGTGGGCGCAGCCGGGCGGGGCCACCTCCCCCACGGCGGCGCACATCGTCCCCGCGGGGGGGCCGCGCGCGGAGGCTCCCGCGCGCGCTCGCGCGCGCGCGCTGGGCGTGGAGCCAAAGAGTCGCCAGCGGCAGGCAGGCCATGCCACACCACTGCTTTTGGCGTGGAGAAGGTCCAGGCTTCGCTCGGGCGTGTCCCCCACACTGGGGGATTCTTTGGGCGAAAGATAAAAGGTACGTGCCCCAGAATACCCAAACATTGTCTCAACAAATGCTCAAAACATCGTCCCCAGCCTATTTGTTGACTATGTTTGAACATTTCTCCTGTAGAGGGACAGGCCCGACTTAACTCTAGGCTAAGGAAACGGACTTCACTCCAAGCGTTCCCTTAAACAGTAGCTTGGGTCCAGAGATGCGAAATGACCACGAAACAAAAAAACTGGCTCCAGGAAAACGCCCAAGGTCCAGTCCAGATTCTTGACTTTCTTGAGCGACATCTGAAGTCCATGAAGTTTGATGTTTGTTCTTAAGACTACTTTGGCATGGGACGGGGCACGTCAGGAGAAGGACGACGACTTGGAGGCGACGAGGGGGTCTGCTGTGGGTGGGCACCGGCAAGACATGTCGGGAGGACGGAGGGAGCAGGCTCGGCACCCGATGCCCATCTGGAGAAGGTGGCCCAGAGGGGACGGGAAACGTAACCCGTGCACAGTGGTGTCCCCCCCCCCACTGGCGGCTTGAACCATCAATGCCCTACCCCAGCACCCAGCCAGCTCCTAAGGACGACGACGAAGAAAACGACAAAAAAACGACGACAGCTTAAGAGGATGTTCCCAGCCGGGGCAGGAAGCCCGTGGGCACTCGAAGCGCGGGGCCCTCCGCGGTGTCTCTCTTGCCTTCGCCGCCCCTCCGTGTATTCGACTCGAACATGAAGACCCCCGTCCCTCTCATCCGGTCCCTCCTCAACCTCCCCATTCACATCCGTCCCTCATCATCATCATCATCATCATCATCATCATCATCATCATCATCATCATCATCATCATCATCATCATCATCATCATCATCATCATCATCATCATCATTGCCACCAGCACCAGCACCAGCACCAGCACCAGCACCAGCATCAGCATCAGCATCAGCATCAGCATCAGCATCAGCATCATCATCATCATCATCATCATCATCAACATCATCGTCCTCTTCCTCTTCCTCTTCCTTCCCCTCATACTGATCCTCATCATCCCTCTTCACCCCTCCTCATCATCATGTTCCATCATTATCATCATCAGCATCATCATCATGATCAGAATATCATTCATAATCATAATCATCATCATAATCATAATCATAGTCATCATCATCACCACCATCACCACCACCATCAGCATCTGCAACCGCAGCAGCAGCATCAATATCATCATCATCACCACCACCACCATCATCATCAGCAGCAGCATCAGCAGCATCATCATCATTACCACCACCACCACCACCACCATCACCATCATCACCATCATCATCGTCATTATCATCATGATCGTCGTCGTTGTCGTAGTTGTCGTCATCAGCATCACCACCGACAACAAACAAACTCATGTTATCCTCATGCGCCATGCGTCGACATGCCACAAGCATCCGTCTTGGTGCCACTTCCTCTTGGGAGAAATATATGACATCGGGGCGATCTTACCACACCCAGGCCTCCCGCCAAAGAAGGTCGAGCCAATCCCGAGGCACTGTCCCACTTTCAGCTCGCACGACACATAAACTAGTGCGACGATGGGGAGCGGAGAGGGTCCAAAATGCGAAGGATTCGAGCCCTAGGAGAAGGGCAATATGTAGGAACGTACGTAAGGTACTAAGGATTCGAGCCCCAGTCGAAGGGAAGACACAGGAACATACGCAAGACACAAAGGATTCGAGCCCCAATCGAGGGGCAGTCCATAGGAAGAGACGTAGAACACAAAGGATCCGAGCCCCCTGGCGGGGGCTACCGTGCGGGCGCGGCCGCAAGAAACCCTCGCCAGAAAACTAACCCTGAAAACCCGCGCGCGAGGTGCACCTGAGGGGAAACCCGGAGCACCCTGAACGCAGCAGCTTCTTCAACGACCGCGGGAAGTCACCGCGCGGCGCAGGGAGCGAAGAAACCCAGAGTACTCTGGCGAGAAGCAGATTGTTTCTTGATGCGCGCCCCCACTGTATATTGAGAAGCACGCGGGAAGCACAGCAGACTCGAGCCCCGGGGGAAAGGCCGGCCACGCGAGCGAAGCCTCCGGAAAGGCGGCGAGCACTCCCCGAACACAGCTCCCCACACAGAAGTAGCCTCCTGGGGCCTCCTAGGACCCCCAGGAGAGGCGGAGGAGGAGGAGATGGAGGAGGAGGAGGAGGATGAGGAGGAGGGGGAGGAGGAGGAGGAGGAACAACAGCAGCAGCAGCAGCAGGAGGGGGAGGGGGAGAAGGAGGAGGAGGAGGAGGAGGAGGAGGAGGAAGAGGAGGAGGAGGAGGAGCGGAGGGGAGGGAAAAGCGCTCCCCGAACGCGCAGCCCAATGCCTCCCAGAGGCGGGAGTGCCGAAAAACGCTTCCCGGACACATTTCCCAATACAACAAAAATATCTCCTGGGGCCTCCTGTGGGCGGTCGGGCCGGAAAACGCTCCCCGGACACATTTCCCCATACAAAAAAATGTCTCCTGGGGCCTCCTGCTGCCTCCTGTGGACGGGAGGGCCAAAAAACTGCACCCGAACAAATATCACTGGAGCGTCCTGTGATCTCTTGGGGCCTCCGCAAGTAGCAGCAAGACTGCTCTGGTCGGGAAGGCGGGCCCAGGCGGCCAGGTCGAGCAGGCGGGTTGCTGAAGCGTCAGTCCTGCATGAATCACGAGGAAGTCTCGAGCGGTAGCGCGATTTCCATGCAAACGTGAGAAAGGCCAAAGCGAGAGCGTGATTCCTGAATGTCGAAGGCGCGGCGCCTGAAAAGATTGCAAGGAAGTCCCGCGCGAGAGCGCGATTCATGCACAGATTGTGAGGAGGTCCCGCGCGAGAGCGCGATTTGGGAAAATAAATTGCGAAGACGTATCAGGCGGGAGCCGCTGTTGTTGTAGTTCGGGGGCCAGGGGGCAGATCTGAGCCCCGAGACGTTGATCTGCAAAAGACAGGGTGCGAGCCCCGCGAGAGAGCACTCTAAATGAAAAAAACAATGGGCACCAGGGGGGATCAACCAATTTTATGAAATAACCCATAACTCTAAAATGAAATAATCAATAATCAAATGAAAAATCAACAATTTTGATAGTGTTCGCTCCAATCTGCTCGCGTGCCATTCAACACGTCTATCCCAAGCCGTCGGAAGCCGCCCTCTTCGCCTATAGTCGTACCCTCTTGGAGCAGATCTTCCTTACCTTCCATACGTATGTGGCGCAAGCCCTGAAAGAGGGGAAGAGAAGACGGATGGAAGGGGGAGGGAGAAGGATGGAACACGAGACGCATTCGCAGGAGGGGAGCCAGGAGCAGAAAACACGTGGCATCATCAGACGGGCAGATCGGGCGGGTAGACCCTACCGGGCGGGTCGGGAAGGCGGGCCCAGGCAGCCAGGTCGACCAGGCGGGCTGCTGAAGCGTGAGTCCTGCATGAATCGCGAGGAAGACTCGAGCGGTAGCGCGATTCCCATGTAAATCGTGAGAAAACGCCACAACAAGAGCGTGATTCCTGAGTGTCAATGACGCGGCGTCTGGAAAAAATGCAGGGACGTCCAACGCGAGAGCGCGATTCTTGCATACATTGCCAGGAGGTCCCGCGCGAGAGCGCGATTTTGGAATAAATTGTGAGGAAGTATCAGGCGGAAGCCGCTGTTGAATTCTCATTTTGGACATACAATTATTGCTGATATCCGGAAACGGTTCCGCGCGCTTTTGTCTCGACGCTGGCTGCAATTCTTCTGAAAACGTGGCTCCCGCTCGAGCGCGGACTTGGTTGTAAATGTTGCCCTTGGAGGCCGGGCTACGACGACAACGGCTCCCACTCGATATTTCCTCACAAATTTACCCCGAGAAACCCTGACCAGAGAGGCCCTCGAACTCAGGAACGGCACTCTCGCTCGAGACTTCCTCGCAAGTCAACCAATTTGGCGGAGACCCGGCCACGACGACAAGGGCTCCTTCTCGATGCTTCCTCGCGATTTACACCAAGAGCCCCTGGCCAGCGAGGCCCCCGAACTCAGGAACGGCGCTCTCGCTCAAGACGTCCCTCGTAGTTCAATCGAGATGTTGGAGGCCGAACTTCGACGACAAGGGCGACCGCTCGATACTTCCGCACGAATTACGCCGAGAGCCCCTGGCCAGGAAGGCCCCCGAACTAAGGAACGGCGCTCTCGCTCGAGACTTATTCGTAATTCAATCATGCTGGTGAGGGCCCAACTACGACGACAAGGGCTACCGCCCGATACTTCCTCACGAATTACGCCAGCGCTCTCGCTCGAGACTTCTTCGGAATTCAATCAAGCTGGTGGAGGCCCAACTACGACGACAAGAGCTCCCGCCCGATGCTTCCTCACGATTTTACTCCGAGAGCCCGTGGCCAGAGAGGCCCTCGAACTCAGGAACGGCGCTCTCGCTCGAGACTTCCTCATAATTTAGTCAAGCTGGTGGAGGCCCCACTACTACGATAAGGACTCCCGCCCGATACTTCCTCACGATTTACTCCGAGAGCCCCTGGACAGAAAGGCCCTCCAACTCAGGAACGGCGCTCTCGCTCGAGATTTCCTCGCACTTCAGTCAGTGGCCGACAAGGAAGAGATTCCCCCCAAAAGGGGGTGCGATCGAAGACGAAGTGGGCGGGTATTGAGGGTTGGGGTACACAAAATGAAAAGACACGCGGGCAAGTAAGAGCGCACAGTCTTAAAATGAGTGTTGTTGTTGCTGTTGTTGTTGCAGTTGTCGCTGTTGTTAGTGTTGTTGGTGTTGCTGGTGTTGCTGGTGTTGCTGTGATTGTTGTTGTTTGCCTGTGTGCTTGTTTGTTGATGTGTTTGTTTGTTTGTTTGTTTGTTTGTT